AAAAAAAAAAAAAAAAAAAAAAAAAAAAAAAAAAAGATAGTAAATATATATAATAAAACACAACAAATTCCATTAGCTATTGTTTTACCTCAACTGTTGACTTTACTAATTCTGCACCAACTGACAATTTTGCTAATTCTGCATCAACTAATAATTTTGGTATTAACATTAATTTTATATCAGTATTAACTACCAATTCTGCATCAACTACCAATTTCATATCAACTGCCAATTTAGTATCAATTAACAATTTAGCATCAACTACTGATTTTATATCAACTGCCAATTCTGCATCAACTGCTGATTTTGTATCTACTATATCAATTTCTGATAATCAACAAGTATCTAAAAAGACTATTGATTTGCTAAAAGAAATTAAAACAATTTGCAATAAAGTAGGTCATATTCAAACTAATAATGACTTGGCTTTTTTTGTAAATCAACTAAACAACAAATATCCTTTATCTCAAAATGATATTGATAACCTTGCAGCTATAGCAACCAAAGAAAGACCAAGTGGTACTAAATGACAAAAAACTGGTGCTGAACATGCTATCAAGAAAGTATACATGTATAGTTTTTGTGGTGGTGCCAGTCATAACACAAGAAAATGTCTACAAAAATAACAATTTTATATATTAGAATTTGAAAAAACAATACATACTCTGAAGCAAAAAAATGTTATTACCTGCAATACATATACAATGCGATATTAGTTTTATTAAATAAAAAAATAGCTCAAAAGAACATGCTAATTAATATTCACTGTATCTTTAAGCTTGACTTTGCATAGATATAGGAATCTTTTTAAAACTTTTTATATATCAATACTAGTATATTATAGTGCTAATTTTTAAAACTATACAAATTGAGATTGCTTTAGTTTAATAAAACTGAAAAGTTCTGCTCATAATAGATATAGTAAAAGAGCACAAACATACTTTATAAAATAATACTAAATTTGGATATATATATATGTTTAGATAACAAAATATTATTGTAAAAATATTACACAAGAAACTAACTTTTTGTCTTAGCAAAGTTGTTTTCTTCAGAATTTTAATTCTAATCTACTTACCATTTACTTAATTGATACTTAAAAGGCAATAACAAAAATTTGTGAATGCTGTTATAACTAGGATTGGTTATAGAGAAAAGAACTTTGGTACAAAGATTTTTTTATATGAACTGTATGTTTGTATATGTTTATTTAATCTGTATCCTTGTACAGTATCATACCTTTACTATGTACGTATGTATAATTCTAAATTAGTAGTGTTTATCAAAATTTTATCTGAGTAACATCAGCCACGAAATTACTGGTGTTACTATCAGATCAGGAGAGCATTAGTAAGTGAGTGCTATGGTTAGATCAGTGATAATGAATGAAAAAAAGATCTGTTAATATTTATGGAGAGAGTGTATGCAGAATAAATATAAGAGATGCAATAAGAATTATAAGGATGTCAATGATTATATGATAGTCAGTTGCAATAAGGATGATTCAGGGTCTATAGATGCTAGATAAAAATAAGTTAATTTTTTAAGAAACCATTAAGGGAGATAATGATTCTTAATAATAGTGAGAATATGCCATGGCAGGACAACATTGTAATTGTAATAATTATATGATATAATAAATAAATAAATAAATAAATAAATAAATAAATAAATAAATAAATAAATAAATAAATAAATAAATAAATAATTGAAAAAATAAAATAATGTAAAGTTTTATGAAATGTGATCATGCTGAGACAATAATGCAGTAAGAGTGAGAATTTGACAAGTCAAGTTTTTATATTTAAATGTATAGGAAATTGAAGTCTGAAGAACTTTATTGAAGGCAAAAAGTCGAGCCTTTAAATACATAATTTGACTTACATAAAATAACTACAATACACTATTAATGATGTGACTCCATTCCTATAACTAACTCCTTTTTCTATAGCTATCCTTCTCTTTTCAACCATTCTGTCATAACCTTATACTAAATTTATCTTTACCCTTGTGATCCTTATACAATGGCCTGTTAACTTGGAGATCTTTATTGGGATAGTTTCTTTGTTAGTATAGCGCCATGGAAGCGATCACAATGGTTTTCCAGGATTAGAGGAATTACAGAATATTGCATTTGTACAAAACTTCTTCTTGAATATTGAGTATTGCACCAGTTACTTTTGGGTTAATGACTGCCAATAATAATTGAATGCCTCACGTTCAGGCTTTGATGGATGGTTTTAGCACCACTTTAAAAAATTGTCCATCAATTTGGGTTGAAAAGAGAAATTAGTAGAACCACACGTTATGATATTTGGGCTAGATTATAGAGGAATTATGGCCTATGCGACTTTGGTTGATCATACTATGTAAATAAAGAAGTAGATAATGACTAAATATAGTAATAAGTAATATTAGGTATAATAATATAAATATGGGAAAGAGAAAGAAATAAATATAGTAATAATAAAATCTATATATCAATTATATAAAAATAGAAAAAGACAAGAAATGTTCGGCGGTATGACTTTATAGTTGCGAGACAAGATTAACTAGGTGCGAAAGCCATCGAAATATACTATTATACATGATTGATCATTGTAAGAGTGTCGAGCCTAATTTATTGCCATAGTAGTCAATTATTTAACAATCATCAAGTCAAAGTGGCAAAAAAGTTAATGATGATCATGACAGTTCCCTCCTTAATTATCAAGCTCCTGCGAGATTGTTGAATTTAATCTATCCAGAGGAGAAAAGTAGAGCTTAAGCTAATTATCGTGAATGGTCTGCTTTAATACTTTATCATCGAGGGTTTAGAGTTTATAAGTCTTGTTGCCAAGGACATTATGAATATAAAAAGGACCTTCCCATTTTTCTTCAAGCTTACCCTTATGAGTACCTTCCAAGGATGATCAATATTGAAAAACTTTATCACCAATATAGTAACTCTCAAGGTGATAATGTCAGTCATACCGATCTTTTTGCCATTCTTAAGCCTTGTATGTTTGTTCTTGGGCTTCTATTTGAGCTTGAGATAGGTCTCCTAATAGTATTTCCACCCTTCATAATATATTCTCTTGTAATTCGACTTCTTTAGTTAGGAGAAGTACCAGGGTGATATAGGTAACTTCAGAAGGCAACAGAGCACCTCTTCTATAGAGAAGAAAAATGGGTTCATATCTGATGATCGAATGCTTGGTGGTGCAGTAAGCAAATAAGGCTGGGGAGATGTACTGATTCCAATCTCCTGAAAATTGAATAGTATATTTAGATAGAACCTCACAAAGAGTACAGTTAAATCGTTCAACCAGTCTGTTGGTTTGAGAATGGTAATATGAAGAAAACCAATGATCAACTTACAGATGGGAGCAGATAGCATCAACAAGTTGATTATCAAAATGCTTCCCCTGGTCTGATAATAGTTCACGAGGACTTCCGTGACAACATATAATGTCTTCAATAAGAAATGTGGCCACCAATGAGGCTGAAGCATCTGAAATGACGTGAGCTTCTGACCATCTAGTGAGATATTCTGTGGTAATGACAATGAATTAATTTCTAGCTTTGGTAGGGACAAAAGGATCAACGATATCAATACTGACCCTGTCAAACAGTTGGCCGATCTTGATCAGATACAAGGGCTCACGTGTTCAGGGCCTTCCTCACGTTAACAAGCATCACATGACTTGACGTATTATTTGATGTCTTCTCCCATTTGAGGCCAGAAATAATGGGTGGCTATGCATTGTAATGTGGATAGGGCATTAAAGTGTCTGGATAGGGGATCTGAATGCATACTGAAAAGGACGGGCTTTACTTTATGAGGCAATAATACTATTTGCAAACAATGAGGGGGCTGATGATGCTATTTGTATAATTTATTATGAACGATGACGAAGTGTTGGGTTTGCTGCTTGAGGTGAGTTTGCTGTCGATTTGTGGTGGGATTAGGGTCGCTAAGATATTTAACAAAGTTCTGGTATTGTATAGGGTCCATGGTTGTGAAGATTTTAAAAGCGGATTTAAAAAGTCTTACAAAAATTGTCAATAATAAAACAGTTATAATAAAAAAGAAGAGATGGGAAAAAGTAGCTAGTTAGAATTAGAAAGATTCATCAGAATCAGCAGGTAAATTTTGGCTAGTTTTTACTAAGTAAGCGGAGAAACATTTAGCTGCGTAATATCCTTGATGATGATATTGATAACAGAGGCGGCCTTTCTTTTTGTCTTAGCTTTTAGAAGAATATACAAGTCGAGAAAGACTGTTGGCATTCGAATGTTGCTTTCCCGAATGATGCACCACCGCAAACTCATATTCCTGCCCTATGAAAAAATATATATGAAAATAAAGAAAATTACAAATAATATACAGAATATAATAGATATATACTAAATAATACGTTTATATAATTAATTAATATTGAATTATTATACTGGATAGATACCGAATCATTTTTGATACAAAATGAATGCCGAATTGTTATACTGGATAGATACGGAATCATTTTTGATATAGAATGAATGCTGAATTGTTATACTAGATAGATACGGAATCATTTTTGATACAGAATAAATGCTGAATTGTTATACTGGATAGATATGGAATTATTTTTGATACAGAATGAATGCTGAATTGTTATACTGAATAGATACAGAATTATTTTTGATACAGAATGAATGCTGGATTGTTATACTGGATAGATACAGAATTATTTTTGATACAGAATGAATACTGAATTGTTATACTAGATAAATACGGAATTATTTTTGATATAGAATAAATGCTGAATTGTTATACTGAATAGATACAGAATTATTTTGATACAGAATGAATGCTGAATTGTTATACTAGATAGATACAGAATTATTTTTGATACAGAATAAATACTGAATTGTTATATTGAATAGATATAAAATTATTTTCAATACAGAATAAGTATAAATTATATGCTAAATAGATATAGAATTATGTATAATCTTTATAAATATATTTAAGCTTAAATTAAATATTACTTATAATAAAAAAAAGCAAATCAATAAATATTTATACTCTTATTATTATACTTTTCTTTAACTCAATAGTTTTTCTTACTATAACTATAACGCAGATTCAATTATAACACACATGTGATATCTCATAATCCAGTAGGTGAAATCAGATGATTTTATTACCATTTGATTCATCTTGATAAGACAAATCGAATGGTAGTAAAATTATCTAATTCTGATTACTAGATCACGAGATAGCTTTGCTTAAATAAAATGAATAAATTTTTTAAATTATAAGTTAATAAAAGTTAATCTTATTATATTAATAATAGTTTTTTTATTAAGTAAATCGACCATTACTATTAAGGCAATTTTGTTTCTCATAATAAATTATACCTACCTCTAAATTTTTATTAATTGACATTTGTAAAAAACGTAATTGCATCATAATATATTCATTTAGTTTAAAAATATATATTATAAAAGTCAATTAATAAAAAATTATTCAATTTTTATAAAACTTTAGAGGTAAGTAGAGTTT